ACCACCTTCAGAGTGTACTGTCCTTAATACACTGCTTTGTGCTTGCTACTTTCCTTCTATCTTTTTTTAAAACTTTTTTTTAAGGTTTATTCAGTTTTGAGAGACAGAGTGCAAGTGGGGTGGGAGGGGGGGCAGAAAAAAGAAAACACGGAATCTGAAGCAGGTTCCAGGCTCTGAGCTGTCAGCACAGCCTGACACGGGACTTGAACTCACAAACCATGAGATTTCCAGAGCCTAAGTCAGATGCCCAACCAACTGAGCCACCCAGGTGCCCCATCCTTCTATCTTTATTCTAGCATGGATCCCCATGTAAATCTTTTGTGGGAATTCTAAGAACCAAGAACTGCATTCACACAACACAGATTCTCCCACCCGTAACAACATGTGTTCCATTTCCATTTCCATTTCCATTCCATGTTCCATTACATTTAATGTAATTACTAAAGTATTAGGATCTAAATCACCCCTTTATTTTGCACTTGCTATGTTGTCCTGTTTTATAATTCTTTTTTCTCATTTCTTGCCTTTTAGTTAGATAACTATGCGTTCTTCATTAATTACTCCATTTTTTCCTTTACTAATTGGAAGTAATACTCTCTGTTTATGCTCTTTTAGTGAATAACTAATATTTTTTTAAAGTTTATTTATTTTTTTAAAAAGAGAGATGAGGAGGGGGAGAGAGACATAATTCCAAGGAGACTCCACGCTGTCAGTGCAGAGCCCGATGCAGGGCTCAAACCCACACACCATGATCATGACCTGAGCCAAAACAAAGAGTCAGACGCTTAACCAACTGAGCCACCCATGTGCTCCTAACTAATCTTCCTTTACAAAACCTTGGAAATCTTGTAAAGACTTTTTAATTCATTTTTTATTTTATTTAAAGATTATGACAAAATCTTATAAGTAAAGTTTTATTGCTGCCTATTTTTGTAAATAAAAGTTTATTGGTGCCTGTTTGGAACACAGTCACACCCATTTTACACGTTGTCTATATCTGCTTTCAAACTACAACAGTGGGTAGTTACAAGGAAGACCATGGGGGTCTGCAATGACTAAAATATTTACTATCTATCCCTTAACAGAAAGTTTGTCAACCCCATTTTTAGTGGATACCCTTTAATGCAATATATACATTTAACCTATCAACTTGTTAAACAAAATTTTTTCCTCTTTATGGATAAATCAAGGCCCTCAGAATATTTTAATTATATTTACCCCTTCCCACATATATGGTATTGGAGTCAAGAATTTTATTCTATATATTTTATAATGTTTATTTATTTTTTTGAGAGAGACAGAGAGACAAGAGTGTGAGCAGGGGAGAGGCAGAGAGTGGGAGAGACACAGAATCCAAAGCAGGCTCCAGGCTCCAAGCTGTCAGCACAGAGCCCAATGTGGAGCTTGAACCCACAAACCGCGAGATCATGACCTGAGCCAAAGTTGGATGCTTAACCAACCGAGCCACCCAGGTGTCCCAAGAATTTTATTTTTTTAATAAACTTTTTTTGAATAATTTTAGATTCACAGAAAAGTTGCAAAGATAGCACAATGAGTTCCCATATGCCCTTTACCCAGTTTCACTTAATATTAACATCTTATATAACTCTGATACATTTATCAAATCTTGCAATTAACATTGGTACATTTATGTTTAAATAAATGCCAAACTTCATTCAGATTTCAGCAGTTTTTCCACTAATGTCCTTTCTCTGTCCAGGATCCAACTCAGGGTACCACGCTGGATTTAGTTGTCATACCTCCTTAGTCTCCTCTGGTCTGTGGCAGTTTCTCAGTCTTTCCTTGTTTTTCTCTAACCTTGAAAGTGCTTAGGATTACCAGGCAGGTCCTTCTATTCAGGTTTCTCTGTTTTCTGTATGCTTAGACTGAGGTAATATGTTTTGGGAAGAATATCACAGAGGTGACATGCCCTTCTCATTACATCATATCAGGCAGTACATGATATTGGCTGGTGATGCTAATCTTCATCACTTGGCTAAGGTAGTGCTTGCCAGGTTTCTCCACTGTGAACTTATTATTTTTCTCTTTCTTCTTTCTTTCTTCTTTTGGAAGCAAGCCCCTAAGTGTAGCCCACAGTGGGGCTGGATGGAGTGAGGGGTTGTTAAGCTCCATCTCTGAGAGTAGGGTATATCTACTTACATTATTTGGATTTCTTGTGTAGGGAAGATTTGTCTCTTCCTCTTGTTTATTCAATTATTTTGTTATATCCCTATGAACTCATGCATACTTATTTTGTACTTTGTGTTATAGTCCAATACCAAATTATTTATTTTGCTGCTCAAATTGTTCCCACTTTGCCCAGTGGGAGCTCTCTTGGGTTGGCTCCTGTGTCCCTTTGATATGACCTCATCCTTTTGTTTTTATGAGCATTTCTTTATTTTCTGACACTATAAGATGTTCCCAGCTCCCCTTCCTGTCTCTTCCTCTCAAGCCTTAGCACCACAGCCACTAGTTGGTAGGTAAGCCCAGTTCTCTCTTCCAGGATGGAAGCATTTCCCACGGCCTAGATGCATCCAGTGCCTAAGATTTGACCCACCTGTCTAAACCAGAGCTGAGTCTGGATTGGATCTTAGACATTTTGCTGTACTCGTAGGGCCCATCCCTGGAGCCAGATTTGGGGCCCCTCCATCTCCTACCTGGTCCCAACACCTTCCTCCAATCTTACTGTCCCATGTGCCTAGCCCCAGCCTATCTAGTATTTAAGACCATTCATGACAGATCAGCTGATTTGGAGGGAAGATCCCAGGTTCCACTTTTTAATAAATTAAGTTTGAAGTACATGCATTATCCAAATATCTTGTGCCCTTTATCTCTTACTTTAGATCCAGCAAATAAGTGTAGCAGGAAATTGTTTCCTTCATCTTCCACAATCCAACCCAGTCTTCCGGACTGACCTTTAGTCATTTCAGCAGAATTACTACCTCGTGTCGATAATACATTACTCTCTAGCTTTCTTACCTTCAGAAGTTTGCTTTCTCCAAAATAACGGTAAGTGTTGTCAGCCAACCATTTGTCTCTGGGTAATTCCAAAAAAAATCTTTAAACCTCTTTAGTTCTGCCTTCAGGTCAAATTCCATTGACAATGACCCGACTCGCTGATACTGCAACCACACACAAGTACCAGTTTCCAAACATGCCCACATTTTCTTTGGATGTTCCTTCACCCTGCCCTGACCTCCTTTTCCCCAAAATTTTCCTGACTGTTGGCCTACTACGTATTCTCCCCCAAATAATTTTGGCAGCAACCTGTACCTAGCCTGCTATTAAAATCCACGTTGATGCTCTTTTTCTTTATTGGAATTGCTCATATGTGCTTGTGAATTCCAAGAGGGTGGGGATTCAGACCGTAGCCATCTTTGCATCCTCCATAATGCCAGACTGCCTCCAGCCTCTCCTCCACCTTGTTTGTAACAGCTGAATATCATACACAACCATACAAGAATTGAGTTCGCTTGCTATCTTTGTACCATCTAAGAACTTGGCAAGTAAAACAAAACAAACAACCTCTCAACTTCTAGAATCCTCTTGCATCCAGCCTTGGGGAACTCTGACCTTGCACCATATCCATTTCACACGTGGGAGTGGGGCTACTGCACATGTTGGCATCATCAACAGGATCAAGGGGTACTCTGCCCTCTCCAGTGCTCAAAAACAGGGTATCTTCTCTGACTTGACTCTGTTTATGATGCCAAGAAGAGAGAGGAATTTACCCAGTGAAAACACAGGGGAGAGAGTTCTGGGTAAAGAGAAGCAGAGAGCCTCTGTAGGCCCCTTTCCTCACTTTATGCATTTTGAGCTGCAGAGGTCGGAAGAGGCATTTGTGGGGGATGAAAGTCAAAAGGATGACACTGAGAAGGCACCACAGAAGTGGTGGTTGAGGAAAACGGCACTGGTTAAGGATCTAAGGTACAAAGTAAATGTCGACGTACAACAGGAAAAGAGCTCAGACAGAGGCTGGAGGCCCACAGACATTTGGAGGGCATTTATGGCTACCTTGAAAAGGTTGATTACTTTAAAACAAAAATCTGGGGGCGCGTGGGCGGCTCAGTTGGTTAAATGTCCCACTCTTCATTTCAGCTCAGGTCATGATCTCATAGTTCCAGGAGTTCAAGCCCTGCATCTGGCTCTGCACTGACAGGGCGGAGACTGCTTGGGATTCTCTCTCTCTCCCTCTCTCTTTGCTCCTCCCCTGCCTGTGCTCGTGCTCTCTCTCTCTTTCTCAAAATAAATAAACTTAAAAAACAAAAAACAAAAAACAAATCTGGCTCTTTAGGAGTCATCCTACTGCCTGAAAGTTCCAGTGAGCTTCAGAGGTTTCACTTGGGTACTTCTCAGGCACAAGGGGGAGCCAGCTGTCTACTATCAGAGTCGTATGTCACAGGCCCTGAAGAACTGGTATGGGTCAGAAATGAGCAAGGGTGCCTTCGATTTGTCAAAACAGGTGACAGCTGAGGTGTAAAATGGACAGACACTGGGGTTTCCAGTATCTGTGGCTTCCTGCCACCAAAGGCTGTTCCCACCCCCGGGAACCTTATGTTCCCCTTACTAACTTGGACAGGGAATGCAACTCTCACTTCAGGGTCTAATGCACGGACGTAGCTTTCCTTCTAGTTACAAAGATCCTGTCGTGCCTAACAGGGATTATTTTCCTGAGTGGCCTCTGTTGGGGACACAACTTTTTACCTTTTCCTCTGGAATTACCTAAATTCCCACTTTTCCCTGTTTGTGTGATTCTGTCCGGGAACGGAACATATGTGCATGTGCGAGCACAAACACGCCTACGTGTTGGGGGGGTGGGTATAGAGATGCTGGAGTCAGGTCTGGATTAGAGGCCAATGAAATGGGTTTGGGGGGCAGGGGGAAGTAAAGAAACAAACCTGCTGTTGGGACCAACCCATGCCACCCATCTTGTCCCACCTCTAATTTATTAACTCCGATCTAGTGAGTTTGGAAGATTAACTTTCCAAAATAAAGCATTTAGTTTTATTTCTGAAATCAGAACATGCCAGTGAAAATGGGAACCACTGGGTCAAGAGCAAGAACTCCCCCAAAGTAGAGAGTATAGAGATTCCTTTCCCTGCTGCGGGTGGCCCTGGGGATTGGGCTTCCCCTCCCACCACAAGTGCTGCCAGCCCAACAAGCCTCCATGGGCTTCACACGCCCAGAAACACCAGTTCACTGCAGGGCAGGCTCTAGGGTTTCCAGAGGGTCTGCGCTGCGCTTCCGACCTGGCCCAGTGAGGACGCTCCTGACAGCCTCACAGACAGAGGGGGCTGCAGCCAGTTGCACCTGTGCCTCGGGGATGGAGCACCGGGATAGGAGGCTCAGCAAGGCCATGGGGATCACCTGTGGGGAAGAGGCAGGGAGCACTTAAGCCTGAGAAAGTGAGGCTACCTGGGGAAGAATCTGGAGGAGCCAGAGCATTTGGTGTGGGAGTCAGAAGCCACTAGGTCGGATGCAAGAATAGAAGAGAGTTATCAAGACCCAGAATTGTATTGAGGTAGGTCAAGAACAGAAAGAAGCTGCAGCTGATGACATAACTTTTTTCCCCATCAGATCGACCATGTTGATCTAACTGAACCATTAGCCAGTGTTTTGTCTGATGCATTGGGGGAAAAAAAAAAAAAAGAACAGAAAGAAGCCTTCACCTGGACCCAGAAAACTCCTATTCATCCTTTCAGACCCCATTCGAAGACCTCCTCCTCCCTCTGTCCTGACTCCCCTCCTATACAGAACTGAAGCCCCTATTTCCGGATCCCTACAGCACCTTTTCCACACCTCTGTGACTGCCCGTCACAGTCATATCTCCCCCAGAAACAGAGAGCTCCTTGGCAGTGTCACTGAGCAGTACCAAGCAAAGTTCCCGACACACTGAAAGGACTCAATAAGTGTTTGCTGAATGACTAGCTGCCAGCAGGATACCTGTTCCTTCTCGTGTGCAACCTGGACATGGAAGGAGATGGGAGCAGCCCGGGTATCATCCGACAGCGGCTGAGGAAAGTGGATCACCTGGAGGAGGGTTTCGATGCATCGAGCCTTGGGCTGTCCAGAGAACCGCTGTGGAAGAAGTAGTAAGGTCAGTGTTGGGCTAGAAGTCAGGAGAGTGGAAAATGGAGTCAAGGAGGAGAAAGCAGTGGGAGAAGGGAAGGTGGGTGCCTAGGATCCTGAAGACTGGCTATAGAAGCCGTGGAGAATTGATCCCTATAGGCAATCCCAAACTCAGAAGCCCCAGGCATGAAGAAAAATGGTTGGTGGTAGGCTTTGATGGGCTGGTGAAACTGGAGGATTCAGGGCAAATTGGTCACACTTTTAGCCATGTGCCACTAACCCTGTAAGTTGGTAACCTTAAACTGAACTCACTCCTTCTGGTTTCCTTCTTAACCCCATCCACCTTTTACATTGCTGCCAAGACTGCTCATCTGCAAACATGGCTCCTATTTCGTCACCACCCTCCACTCTGCTAGCCCAGCACTGTCCAATAGAAATACAGCAAAACCTTGGTTTGCGAGCATACTTTGTTCCGGAAACATGCTTATAATCCAAAGCACTCGTATTTCAAAGAAAATTTCAAGAACTATTATTGGCTCAATTGTGTTCATGTGACATTCAGCATCATGTACCACTCATATTGCAAGATGTCACTCATTTATCAGTTAAAATTTATAAGAAATGTTTGCTTGTCTTGCAGAACACTCCCAGAACAAGTTTCTCACAATCAAAGGTTTTACAGTATAATGCGAGGGGAGCCTGGGTGGCTCAATCAGTTAAGCGTCTGACTCTTGATTTCTGCTCAGGTCATGATCTCACAGTTTGGGAGTTCAAGCCCCACATCTGTCAGCACAGAGCCTGTTTGGGATTCTCTCTCTCTCTCTCTCTCTCTCTCTCTCCCTCGCTCATGCTCTCTCTCAAAATAAACATTAAAAAAAAAAGGATATATAATGTGAGCCACATACAAGATTTAAAGTTTTATAGTACTGCATTGAAAAAGAAGTAGGTGAAAAAAAACAAAAGAAACAAATAAAAAAATACATTTCAATCATATTTTGTCTAACCCAATATATCCAAAATATTATGCCAACATGTAAACAATATTAAAAATTAGTAGGGTACAGTATTTTTGTATTTACAATATTTTTTAAAGCCAGTGTCTATTTCTTAAAAATTACAATGTTTCAGTTTTTAAACAAAACTTAAAGTTCAGTTCCTCGGACACACTAGTCACATTTCAAGTGCTCAACAGCCACATTTAGGGCGTGGCTGCCATTCTGGAGGCCCAGGTCCAGCTATATTTGGCAAGTCTGAATTCTGGTCTGGCTTTCAATCTTCCACAGTCTCCCTTCATCTGTCTCTCCATAATCCCTCACTGTGTAAAATGATTCTCTGCTGTAGTCACACCTGTGTCCCCATATATCATGCTTGGTCCCCTTCTGGGCCTTGGTTAATGTTCTTTTGAATAAGAATACCCTTCTGTCTGTCACCTATCTGAGCCATACCCACTAGGCCTACCTTGAATATCACCTCTTCCATGAAACCTTCTGTTTTCCTCTAGTGCATTCGGACCCTAGGTTCTTTTAAGTTCTATTGGACTTCAGTAAGGATCATGCAGTTTGATACTTTGTTGTTCTCTATTGATTTTGTCTCTCCTCCATTAGATGGACCACTCTGGGAGAGCAAGGACTGCATCATATATATCTCCGGTTCCCCCTATCCACCCCAACCCCAGGAACTAGAAGAGCATAAAGCACTTTTTTTTTTTTCCTGGTTGGTTGGTTTTACTCATTTGAGAAAGTTGTTTTAGGGACCTGGTGGGTGCTCACTAAATGCTCATTGACTGATTCCCATTATGTAGTGTTGTCAGATTTAGCAAATAAAAATACAGGACACCCAGTTAAATAGGAATGTCAGATGAATAATGAAAAAAACAGAAGTATGCCTCAAATATTTCATAAGACATACTTATACTAAAAAAAAAAAAAAAAAAAGAATCCTTAGGGTGCCTGGGTGCCTCAGTCAACTGAGTGTCTGATTCTTGATTTCGGCTCAGGTCATGATCTCCCAGTTCATGGGATCGAGTCCCATGATGGGCTCTGTGCTAATAGCACAGAGGTGCTTGGGGTTCTCTCTCGCCCTCTCTCTGCCCCTCTCCTGCTCACGTGCACTCTCTCTCAAAATAAACAAAGAAAGAAACAAAACAAAATCCTTTATTTATCTGAAATTCAAATTTAACCGGTGTCCTGTAGTTTTCTTTGCTAAATCTAGCAACCTTCCTTTCATGACCATCTGTTGTGCTGTCTGCTCGGCAGCCATTCCTCCTCCTTCCAGTACCAGCACCTTGATCTTCCTCTGGGAAACTATTGCTTCTCCTTTCTCAGGTCATGCAGTTTGACTGAGGCTCACTTCCTGCCCCTTCCTCCACTGCCATCCTACAGGGAGAGCTCATGAGCCAGGCCTGGGCAGAGGGCGGCTTTCCCCCCAAAAATAGTGATTGGCTCAGAGATGCCATGTGACCCATGACAAGCCTACGGCAGCCCTTCCTCCCAGGCATTTGTGGGAATCACAGGGACTGATAACTCTCCTTCCACTGGGGTGGATTGGAAGAATGCTAGGCTCACACTGCTGGTGGCCAACTGGCCACCTACTGGAGAAAACCTGCCGGAGAATGAGAGCGACACAGAGGAAAGTTACGGGCTGACAATTCTGGAGCACACTGTTTTTGAGTGTCTGGATCTTGCCACCCTGGGACTTCAGTTACATAAGCCAGTCGTTTGCCTTATTTAGCTTAAAGTTAGTTTTCTGTCACATACTTGTAACTGAAAGTATCTTGCCTAATGGTTATAATCTCACAGCCAAACATGCACATACACTCCCTAGAGGGGAGGATGAGCCCGAAAGAAGGAAGAGGCACAGGAGAAAAGACAGCCCTTTGCCCCCACACATGTCCATGTCTCTGTGGCAGCCTAGGCACAAAGCCAGGCCCCACCCAGTCCCGGCCCATGAGGACCTACCTGCAGCATGGCCAGCGCCCGCCAGAAGAGCTTGGAGTTGCGAATGCGGAAGTCCAACATGTGGTTCTGGAGGATCTTCCCAAGAAGCACGTGGGCCCCCGTACTCACAGTGTTCAGCACCCACTTGGTGCTCAACTCATGCTGGAACTTCTACGTAGGACAGACACACAGGGGTATCAAAAATCAGAGGCTGGTAGAGCAGTAGGGTGATCAAGGACTCTATTATCAGACAGGGATCCAGGGGTCAAAAACCAGGGAACAAAATATAGGCGTCATTTGTTTATCAGCTCAGAATTTAAATGTTAGGACAGAAGTTGTAAAGCAGGACTGTCCTAGGCAAACCTGACAGTGTCACACATTTGCAGATGGGACCCCTACTAGAGAGGTATCTTCTCTGAGTCCTTCCATAGATGGGTTTTGTGCTCTAACCAGAACTTTCCTTTTGCTCCCCAGGGACCCAACAGCAGGGGAAAGAAAGTCCTGGGATTCATTCCTCTAAACCAAAGTCGCCTTGAGAGCAGAGATGGTGTCTTATTCTGCTCCAGAGCCCCAGTCTTTTTGATAATGGCTGATACATGGTTACTGATCAATACACATTTGTTGAAGATTAATTCAATTTAATCCTTATCACAACCCAACGAAATAGGATTCTCAATTCTCATTTCTACATATGTGGAGACTACAGGTCGGAAGTAAAGTCACTTGAATAAGCTCATATGATAATAAGATGCAGAAGAATCAGGACTTAAATCCAGATCTGATTCTGTGATGAGGGCATTTCCTACTTGACCACAATCATCCCCTGGGCGAATAACATAGTGTGTGTGAAAGCACGCTGAAAAACTAAAACATTGTACAAACATGTATAGTACTGTGAGCATAACCACCACCTGTCCTTAGCCCTCATATCTTCCACTTATAACATTGCTGCACTTTGCATCTATTACTGTAACAGGAGTCCAGAAAAGGAATTGAAGAGATTCATTACTCTCCTCAAAAGACTGGGCAACAAACTACTGCTACTTTTTACCTCCTTATTCTGGCATTCTAGAAATAGAAGGTCACACACACCCCTGGCAGAGGGTATATTAAAAATACTTTGGGCGCCTGGGTGGCTCCGCCAGTTGAGAGTCTGACTCTGTTTATTTTTTTAAATGTTTATTTAGTTTTGAGAGAGACACACACAGAGTGTGAGTGGGGGAGGGTCAGAGAGGGAGGGAGACACAGAATCTGAAGCAGGCTCCAGGCTCTGAGCTAGCTGCCAGCACAGAGCCTGATGCAGGGCTTGAACCCATGAGCCGTGAGATCATGACCTGAGCTGAAGTCGGACACCCAACCGATTGAGCCACCCAGGCACCCTGAGAGTCAGACTCTTGATTTTGGCTCAGGTCATGATCTCATGCTTCGTGAGATTGAGCCCCACATCTCAGACTCTGTGCTGATAGCACAGAGACTGCTAGGGATTCTCTCTCTAAATAAACTTAAAAAAAGAAAATATTTAATAAGTGACTGACAAGGATACGAGTACTGTACAAAACATTTATAATTAACATGGATGCAGCTAGAGAGTATTATGCTAAGCAAAATAAATCAGTCAGAGAAAGAAAAGCACCATATGATTTTACCCATATGTGGAATTTAAGAAACAAAACAAACAAGCAAGGGGGACAAAAGAAAAAGAGAGGAAAACCAAGCAAAGACTCTAAAGTATAGAGAACTAATGGTAACGAGAGGGAAGTAGGGGGAGGGGCATGGGTTAAACAGGTGATGGGGATTAATGAGTGCACTTGTTTTGATGAGCACTGGAGGAGAGACAGAGAGACAGAGACAGAGAGAGCAAAAATCTGACCAACCGGGAACACCTGAATGGCTCAGTCAGTTAAGCACCCAACTTCAGCTCAGGTCATGATCTCACAGTCATGAGTTCAAGCCCTGCATCAGGCTCTCTGCTGACAGCTCAGAGCCTGGGGTCTGCTTGATAGTCTGTGTCTCCCCCCACCTCTCTCTGTCTCTCCCTGGCTCACACTCTGTCTCTCTCTCTCTCAAAAATTAAATAAGCATTAAAAAAAAAAAAAGAAATCTGACCAATCAAAATGAACCAGCTAGTATGCAGTACAGAGACTGCCCTGTGGGATAGAAAACAATCACATTTGGGTTTTGTCATTTTTTATTATTTTTTTACAGTTTAATTTTGAGAGAGAAAGAGATAGAGTGTGTGTGAGTGGGGTAGGGACAGAGAGACTTGGGAGAGAGAATCCCAAGCAGGCTCCGCACTGTCAGCACAGAGCCCCATGTGAGGCTCAAACTCACGAACCATGAGATCATGACCTGAGCTGAAACCAAGAGTTGAGAGGCTTAACCAAATGAGCCACCCAGGTGCCACCCAAATTTGGGTTATATCATTTATGTCTCTAACCATTATATAACCATTTATACCATTAACTACCATTAACACAAAAATATTTTAAAGTGTACATAATTTGACTCTAGATACATTTGTTTTATTTTAAAGTTTTATTTCAGTAATCTCTACACCCAATGTGGGGCTCAAACTCTTGATCCTAAGATCATGAGTCATACACTCTTCTGACTGAGCCAGCCAGGAGCCCCTAGAGACATTTATTTTAAAGTTTATATGGAAAAAAGGCAGCAACTGTACCTAGGAAAACCCTTTAAAAGAAGAGTAACGAAGGAAGCACTAACCTATCAGATATTAAACCTACCATAAAGCCTCTATGTTTAAATAGTATCGCACCAGCACATCAATAGACAGACCAATAGAATAAAACAGAAAGTTCAGGGGCATCTGGGTGGCTCAGTTGGTTAAGTGTTCAGCTTTGGCTCAGGTCATGATCTTGCAGTTCATGAGTTCAAGCCCTGCACTGAGCTCTGTGCTGACAGCTCAAAGCCTGGGGCCTGCTTTGGATTCTGTCTGTCTGTCTGTCTGTCTCCCTCTCTCTCTCTGCCCCTCCCCTGCTCGCACTCTGTGTGTGTGTCTCTCTCTCAAAAATAAATAATAAAACATTTTTAAAAATTAAAAGAAAGTGTAGAAATTAACCAGCATGTATGGGAACTAAGTATCTGATAGATATAGCATCTCAAATCACTCAGGAAAAGATGAACTTAAAAAATATATTGAGACAATTGGATAAATAATTATATTTACAAAAATATAAAACTGAGTTTAGGGGTGCCTGGGTGACTCAGTCAATTGAGCATCTGACTTTGGCTCAGGTCATGTGTTCAAGCCCCACGTCGGGCTCTGTGCTGACAGCTCAGAGCCTGGAGCCTGCTTCAGATTCTGTGTCTCCCTCTCTCTCTGCCCCTCCCTTGCTCATGCTCTGTCTCTCTAACTCTCTCAAGGATAAATAATAAACATTAAAAAAATTTTTAAACTGAGTTTATACCTCACCTCATACACAAGAATAAACTAATGAATTACAGATCAAAAAAAAAAAAGAAAAGAAAAGAAAGAAAGAAAAAAGAAACCATTTTTACTAGAAGAAACATGTGCTAAAAGAAAATACAGATGGAATCCCTTTACAACCTGGGGATAGTGAAAAGCTCTCTGTGTCTCAAGGTCCAGATTCAACAAAAGATGGATAAATAAGTTCTATCCCAGAAAAAATAAAACAAAGACTTTTACATATTTAAAACTCAAAAGAAATATTTACATATATCAGGAAGAAAGACTAATGCCTCTAACTTAAAAAGAACTAAAAATCAAGGGATCATATAGACCCTAATACCATTAGAAAATGAGTATATTCCATGCATTTACCTGACCACAGAGTTCACAGAGGAAAAGGTTTACTAAAAGACCTGTAAAGCATGTGAAAAGATGCTCAACTAAACACATAAGTTTAAAGTACTATATTTTATAACACATAATAAATAAAACACAAATTAAAATCACACAGAAATAGAATGTCTCTTCTATCAGATTGGCAAAAAAATTCAAAAGCTTGACTGTGCTTTTAAAGAGGCAACAGGGAAGCAGGCATTCTCATATATTGCTGGTACAAGATGCAAAATGGTACAATCCCTGTGAAAAGAAATTTTGCAGTATCTAACAAAATTACGTTTTTATCCTTTGGCCCAGCTCTCATTCTTCTAGGAATTTACCCCAAAGGTACACTTCTAACTTTACAAGAATATATGCATATTCATTGCATCATTATTAGTAATAGCAAAATATTGGAAACAACCAAACATCCTATGTAAGAGTCTGCCCAAATAACTCTTGCACAGGTAGTCACACAACTGAAAAAAAAAAAAAAAAAAGAGTGAGGAAGGGTTTTATAAAACTCAAGTGGAGTTATTTTCAGGATACCTTTTATTTTTTTTATTTTTTTTTTAAATAAAGCTTTGAAACTACAGTGCTTTATTTATTTATTTTTTTATTTCTAGGAGAGAGAGAGAGAGACAGCGTGAGCAGGGGAGGGTCAGAGAGAGAGGGAGTCACAGACTGAAACAGGCTCCAGGCTCTGAGCTGGCAGTCAGCACAGAGCCCGACGCGGGGCTCAAACCCACGAACCGCGAGATCATGACCCAAGCGAAAGTCGGACGCTTAACTGACTAAGCCACCCAGGTGCCCCTTCAGGATACCTTTTAAAGCACAAAAGAATATATACAGTCGCAGCCTCTTGTATAAGAAAGCAGGACTAAGTACATACACACACACACACACATTTTTTTTTTTTTTAAAGAAACACAAGAAGGTAAGTCAGCAACTAATGAAACTGGTCATCTTCAGGGATGAGTGGACACAGGAGGAAGGAAGAATGAAGGGGATAGGACATCTCCTTTTTATATAGTTTGACCTTAAACCATGTTGTGTATACATATTTAAAGGATTAAAGGAGGTCAAGACCAAAAACCTCTAAAACTGAAAACAAATACAAAGAATGGAAATGAAACTATGTAACATATTGATAACACAGCTACAGAGAGAGAGGAAAAAATGTAATCCAAGTGACTCTTGCACACATTATATATCTTCAGTGGGATCTGGCCAAAAGACAAAAAGAGCTGCAAAGAAATCTTGACCATTTCTTGGTAAGCTTGTTGATGACAGTGGTATTAGGATCGCACTTCCAAAACTGGTATTTTATTGTAAGACCAAGCAAGTGGATGAATATATTGATGAT